ATCATTTTATTGGGGGCTCATACAATGCTTATCACAATCCATCCATCCATCCATTGTGTCAAGCACATTTGTACATTGGTTGCCATCATCATTCTCAAAACATTTGCTCTCTACTTGAGCCCTTGGTCCCAGCTCCACACGGTCCTGCTTTCTCAACTCCCTTCTCGACCAAGAGGGGCTCGGGGTCCCTTGGAGAAGCAGCTCTGGGACTGAGCAGGGAAAGTGCAAGAAGAGTGTGGAACTTTCCGGGGGTCAGAGACTGTGTGTTATCCACAGTTGTCTCCTCAGCCTCTCCCAGTGTTGCCTTGGACCTAGCTACGTAGTATTTGCTGACTGACCAGAAAAGTCTTTGCAAGACAATCCTCCTGTCACACGCTAATCACCCGCACCACGCAGGCGTGTTTAGAAATGCGATGGCGCCCGGGAGTCCGTGGCACACAGAAGGGCATGTCCGTGCTGGCCTCCTCCCCTTTGTGTTTCACTGAGTTTGGGGGCCTCCTGTCTCCCCTGGCACTGTAGGGGTGGCGGAGGAGCACTGCGAAAACTGGGTGGCAGGAATCCCTGCCTGGCACATCCTCCTCCTGTGCTCTCTCACCCCAGATCTTCGGACCAGTGATGCAGGTGCTGAAGTTCAAGACCATTGAGGAGGTCGTCGGGAGGGCCAACAATTCCACGTACGGATTGGCTGCCGCTGTCTTCACCAAGGACTTGGACAAGGCCAATTACCTGTCCCAGGCCCTGCAGGCTGGCACCGTGTGGTAAGAACACACACACACACACACACACACATACACACACCCGGCATCCTCTCACTAATCCAGAATGTGGGGTGCTGGTCCCTGATCCTCCTGGCACAGTGTGGTCCCACTTCTTTGTGATGTACATGCCCCTCCATGCTCCTCTTGATGGGGGGGGGGCAGCTGGATGTCGGGGCTCCTTACCAAGCTGTAGTCAGGCCAGGAGACCAGGGCTGAGGGCAGATATGTTTGGAAGACTGATCTTATAGGTTAGCATCTATTTCACATCCTCTCCAAAAACAAACAAACTCCCTGCCAGCAGGTCAATTCATCTTGGCCCTAGGACGAAGTAGAACTGCCCCGGTGGGGTTTTTGAGACTTTAATGGGTTACACACAATGACCTTGTGACCAGAACCGCGGCTTCTTGGACTAGACCCGAGAGACCTGAAAGCCGGCGCTCTACACTCCACCTGGCCCACCAGTGGGCTCTGTAGCGTGTTTCCCAGTTGTCAAAGGGGCAGAGGACCCCATTGCCCCGTCACCGTTTGAAGGGACACATGCAACGTGGTACATCCACCTGCTGGCACGCTACAGCGCCCCAAGGGTATGGGGATCCGAATGCAGGCTGCCACGTGGAGGATTCTTGAAGACAGAGAGAGAGGAGCCTGGCACAGAAGGCCACACGTGGCAGACTGTGTGCACCTGAGACGTCCACAACATGCCAATCCACTGACACGGAAAGGCAGTTAGCTCCTCCTTCTCCTGGAGAGTTTAGAACAATGTGTGGGTGAGGGGTTGGGCGGAGGGACAGGGTACGATAATGCCCTGGGAGAGTTATTTCTGGAGTCTCATTTCCAATTCTAAGGAGTCCCACTGGGTGACCACTCCACTGCTCACTGAAAGGTAGACAGCTCTAACCTGCAAGGTGGGGAGTGGTGGGGGGTTCCGAGGGAGAGGGGAGATGGCCACCCACCCCTCCAAAGAGTTCAGCCAAGCAGACCCCTCTGGGGGAGTTCTACCCTGTCATCTAGGGCTACTGTGTATCGGAGCCACCTGACGGCACCCACCACCACCATTTCCAATTCCAGGGTCAACTGCTACGATGTGTTTGGGGCGCAGGCTCCCTTCGGTGGCTACAAGATGTCCGGGAGTGGCCGCGAACTGGGCGAGTACGGCCTGCAGGCGTACACCGAAGTGAAAACCGTGAGTGGGCCCCTCCTCCCTCACCCCGAGCCCCTGTCTCACCATTTCTCCTGAGGTCCCGGGGAAGCTGCGGAGGAGGCTGTGAAGGGGCTGGCTCTGAGGGTACGGTCACTCACTGACTGGCCGGCCGGGCTGGTCTGTGCCCCAGCTGTGGAGTCTGAGGAGGGAAAGAGGCAGCTAGATGGGGATAGCTTGCAGGCCCCACGTCCACCCCACCCAGCCTTTGACCTGGCAGTGCCACTGATAGGAGCGGATCCCAAATTACTAATCAGACACACAAAAACCGAAAACCAAACTCAACTGCCATCCAATTGATGCCGACTCATAGTGACCCTATAGGACAGGGTAGAACTGCCCCTGTGGGTTTCTGTGACTGTAACTCTTTACTGGAGTAGAAAGCCTCATCTTTCTCCTGCAGAGCAGCTGGTGGGTTTGAACTGCTGACCTTGCAGTTAGCAGCCCAATGCATCAGCCAGAAATACACAGCAAGTGTGAGCTCCAGAAATGCTCATCAAGCACTGTCTCTATCAGGGAAGGGCAGAGTGTCACTGAAATGCCCAGTAACTGACATGACATCTAGGCTCTGGAGGAACTAGGCAGCCAGAGAAGGGGTTGGGCTTCTGGTAGAATGATTGATCAGAAAAGACCCACCCTTACAAGCGGAAAAAACAAAACAAAACAAAAAATCCAGGATGCAAAGAAATCTTTGTTGTATGAGCCCACATTGAAAACTATATAGACATATGTAGAGATAATCAGATCTATTTATTCATCAATATAAAAAAGATAGGGGGCCTCAAGCAATAATGGGGTCCTCTCTCCAGTGAGTACCAGAGAACGGATACACAAAGGAAACAAGGAGAAGAGAAATGGGCTCCCCTGGACTCTGCCGGAACGCTGGCCGGGGGTAGCCAAGGGAGGTGGACAAATGGAGGTGGGGGCTGGAGGGGTGGTGGCCAACAAGGCCTGAGAACAAGGAGACAGTCTGGGACAAGCAGCTCACTTTTTGTGGTGGGGGCTGTCTCATGCATTAATTGCAGGACATTTAATTATATCCTTGGCCTTAACCCACTAGATGCTATTAGGTCATCCCAGCTCTCTCCCTACCCTCCCACCTCCCAAATTCTTCCAGTGGTGGCAACCCAGAATGTCTCCAGACATTGCCCAGTGTCTTGGGGGAGGCATGATTGCCTGTTGGGAGCCACCGGGCCAAGGGGATGTGGGGGTGCCCTCATGCTGAGCACAGCCCCGATGGTGCCTGGGATTAGCCAACTGGCCCTAAAGGACATTATGGGTCCTGCTCACGCCCAGGCAGCACCATGTTGGGGGTGCCTACAGATCGTAGGGGAGAAGCAAGATTGAATGGCTTCTCTGAACCCCCTCTTATAGGTCACTGTCCGGGTCCCACAGAAGAACTCATGAAGAGCCATGCCGGCCCCCCGTGTGACGAGGTCAGCAATAAGACCAAGAAAAAGGACTCCTGTGTGCTTGCCAAGAGAGAAATTCCACCCACAACATTTGAATTTAAAATCAGTCTAGTATCGTACCCCATCACCTGCTACATTTATGTAACTTGCATTTGGGGAGAGAAATCATTTTCTTATATTTGTACTAATATCAGGCAACAGCTTGCACCTTTGTAATCCAGACTAAAAACCATTAAACACAACACTTCTTAAAAACAATACTTGTTGGGTAGCTCCGCCTTATTCGAAGTCCCTCCTGTGGGTGCAGAACTTTGTGAACAAGGATGTGGTGGCCGCTGGGTGAGATAGCAGGGTAGGACCAAAATGGGTGTCTGGCCTCAGAGGAAGGGACGTTAGACAGGATGGAGACACTACCTCTAAGGTGGGTCCTCAGTTGTTTTTTTTTTCCCAGTTCAAATATTTGATTAGACCTAGTGAGACAGGATCATTGACGAGAGAGATGGGTTTGGAAGTCCAAAGTCCGTTTGTTCTTTCTGGGTGAGATCCTTGCTTTTGGTGGCAGGACTATTAGGATCTCTTCCAGGAATCAGATTTCCTGGAGTCAAGGTTCCTGGCAAACTCAAGACCTATGAGTAGTCATTAGGAGTTTCCTGGGTGAGCATTACATCAGAGCAGAAAGCGGTGAATTGCGATTCGTAGTTGGGATCAATTGAGTCATAGATTCCCTACAGGCAGCGGTTCTCAACCTTCCTCATGCCGCGATCCTTTAACACCATTCCTCATGTGGTGGTGACTCCCCAACCATAAAGTTATTTTCATTGCTACTTCATCACTGTCATTTTGCTACTGTTATGAATTGGGTGACCCCTGAGAAAGGGCCATTCGACACCCCCCCCAAAGGGGTCGCGACCCACAGGTTGAGAACCACTGCCCTAGAGGGTCTGAGGTAAGCGTCAACCCTCTAAGAAAAAGAAGCACACACACACACACACACACACACACACACACACACCCCTTCCAGCCAATATATGTGGACTTTGTCATTGGTTGACCCACTGCCCTTATGGGATATTCCATCTAGTTCAAGTCCATCCTCATTCCACGTAAGACTAATTTTAGTTCTTCAGTGATCCTTCACATTTTGGGACATGCTTCGACTTCCTTTTTTTGTTTATTGTGGTAACATATGTTCAAAAACTCCCCAACTTCTCTTTGCCACACACTTGTCCTATGGCTCACTGGCTCTTTTCCCTTTACGTCAACACACCTTTCTATTCCAATGAACATGCTAGAGAACACCATGATCCCACTCACAGAAAAAGTAAGTAGGCAGTCAGCTGCGGCCATAGAAACAAAGCTGCAGAAGCCCGGGGGACAGCAGCACTGTGATACTCAGTTGAAAATAAGGACCTCCACGTCGTGCCATGATTCTACAGCTCTCCACGCCTGGAGAGGAGTCCTCAGCGAGGAGAACCGGGTGCTGTGCTCCGTCGCCAAGGAAGGGTTTCATTCCCATTGATGATGTTACTTGGTTTCCCTCGGGTGTCCGTTCACCATCAAGAAAATGATCCCGTCATTTAGTCTGACCAGCAACAACATGACGTGAATCTAATGGCAAAGGGCAAACTTGCACCCACCCACCTTTCAGAGCCAAAGACCATTCGTCCGTCCACCCCTTGCCTCTCCCATTCGGCGCTGCAACCTTCTCCCAGGCATTGGGTGGCACATTGCATTCTGGGCTATATGGCAGCAGAGGGATAGGCTGATCAACTGGAACAGCTGTCCCTTCCCTCACCATATGGACACTCTCCCCAGGAACCTAGGGGACTGCATGGCGATCAGAAGAGAGGTGGTGTACTAAGAGTGAGAAGACAGACACCTGGCTTTAGTTGGGTGGCAAGGAGAAAAGGCACTGCCCCTTCACACTTGCTGACCTCCCAGCATAAGCATTGACGAAGAGCTGCCGTGTGCTAGCTACCAGAGTCATCGAGTCAAGTCCTGGCCACCCCATGTGTGTCAGAGGGGAGTGGTGTTCCATAGGCTGCTTCCGGTGGCTGGCTGGTTGCAAGCAGATTCCCAGACCTTGCTTCCCAGGGGCCTCTGGGTAGATTCCACTCCAACATTGGGGTTAACAGCCCGGCACATTTACCTGTTGACCACACGCCAGGGCTCCTTGTGCTAGAACTAATGGTGCATTAGGCCCCATGGAGTGCTGGATGCTGGGGATGCCGAGTGGAAAGAAGTGGGTGACAGACTCAAAGGTTTTTTTTTTTCTGGTGTTTTTGATGGTGTTTGAGGTTGGTGTTTTTTTAATCATTTTATTGGGGGCTCTTACAACTCTTATCACAATCCATCCATCCATCCATCCATCGTATCAAGCGCATTTGTACATCATCATTCTCAAAACATTTTCTTTCTACTTGAGCCCCTGGCATCAGCTCCTCATTTTTTCCCCTTCCTCCCTGCTCCCCCCTCCCTCATGAACCCTTGATAATTTATAAATTATTATTTTTTCATGTCTTACACTGTCTGATGTCTCCCTTCACCCACTTTTCTGTTATCTGTCCCTCAGGGAGGGGTTATACGTAGATCATTGTGATCGGTTCCCCCCCCTGCACCTTCCCTTTTCCCTTCTGGTATCTCTACTCTCATTATTGGTCCTGAGGGGTTTATCTGTCCTGGATTCCCTGTGTTTCCAGCTCTCATCTGTACCAGTGTACATGCTCTGGTCTAGCCAGATTTGTAAGGTAGTATTGGGGTCATGATAGTCGGGGGGGAGGAAGCATTAAAGAACTAGAGAAAAGTTGTATGTTTCATTGGTGCTATACTGCACCCTGGCTCATCACATAGGCTGGTGTGCTTCTTC